ATCAATTTATACCAAGTATCAGCAAGACGATAGAACTGAAGTAATGGAGAATTACAAGGGATTTGTGTCGCCTGTGTTACAACAACATGGGTACGTGGTGTCAGGAAAACGCTCTCATTTCCTCGTTGTACTGGTAGACGATCATAACATACTTCTGTTTTCCTTACTTTTAATTCTACTGGTACACATTGAACTAAGTGAATAACTTCACCAGCTAACATCGCCATGTAACCTGGACCTTTCATAAATCTAAATGCAAATTCATCAGGCATAGTCGATGCAATTGTCAAGCTATTTCTCAAAATCTCTCGTTCTAGATTACATTGGTGGCGCAAGACATCTCTATACAATCTATGTACTTGAGATCTAATATATCTTTCTACATAAACAAATTTTGCATTTACATACATGAGTAAATCCATATTGTCGGTATTTAATGAAACCGCAACATTTCGTGAAAAATCTGCAATTTTGCTTGTTTCAATGATGAAAATTTTCGGATGTTCCGTCTTTATTAGATTCAAACCACACGCGTTATCAACACCTTGTTTCGTAAAAGTGAAGCTAACTTCCTTTACATTGACAGAATATAAAGTATTATCTCTTGAGGTTATTTTATTTACCAGGCCTTTATGAAGAATAGAAAATAAACCTGTTTCACAATGAAATGTTGAGGGTAATGTTTCCCAGAATGAATATCCTCCAATTGGATCGATACATTTATTGTCTCTTAACCTATAAGCATAACCGGAGGATAGGTAAATTTTTCCATTATCTACCTCTACTCTAGCCATATCTGATCTCAGTGAGATTCGAACAACACCCAATACAACGACGTTCTTGTATGAATCAAAAGGGTCCGAATATTGGACTCCATCACAACGACCGTCATTGTTTACAGTACCTGCTAAAGTGACACTTCTAGTGGTTGTTGTGTTGGGTTGAAGTCCAGTAATTAAAGTATTACCGATTGTTATGGTGCCATGGTCATGGGCAACCTTGCACGCATCTTCTGAGATATACTGAATATATTCAGCATGTGCATTGTCAACAATTGAGACATGGGAGTGCATGCCACAATGGTAGACAGTACGACTTACTTCAATTTTACATTGAAGTACTCTTGTATGAGTATATTTGTCCAATTGTATCATATAAATATGTGTTTTAGAGGTCGTTACCTCTTCATCCTCGATATCGCAATCATCGATATCGAGTAAGGATATGGTCGTAACATTGAGCGCATTACTACCACAGTCGTACCCAATTATTGCAGACACTGAATTCCACATTACTATCAGTATCATAATCTTTAAAAGAATCATCTTTTCTGTGAATAAGAATAAAAGGAATTAATTTATAACCTTACACAAATAAAACATAAATTAAGAATGTTTTCTTTATGGTGTATAATCAGAATCGGAATCACTAGATCCATCTTTTCTTTGTTTTTTCTTGATTTTCTTTTTATCATTATATCTACTGTCAATCATTTTTGATATTTTCAATCTATTTGGATGAACAATTTTAAACTTGTTTTTTATTGCAATTTTGACATTTCCATCTGGCAGAATTTCTAAAACTTTGAAAGGACCATCATATTGGTCACCTAATTTTCCTGGTCTTGGTCCACTTAATAAAAAGACATTATCACCCTCTTGAAAATTCACAGGGTTGATCTTTTGATCATAATAATGCTTTGATCTATATTTGGAATCAATCAAATTTTCATATGCCAATTTTCTAGTCTGTGATAATCGTTTTACCAGATTTTCAATATAATTATCATAAGTAGGCAATTTATCAAGTTCATGTAACGGTTCTTCGGAAGGAAGCCGAGCCGTTTTACCGAATACCAATTCGTATGGAGTAAATTTGGTACCTTCATGAACACACGTATTGTAAGACAACATAGCAAGATCAATCCATTGATCCCATTCTGAATCCACAGTGGCATACTGTTTTAAGTATTCGCCCAATACATGGTGTGAACGCTCCAACGATCCATTCGATTGTGGATGGAATGCAGTAGTTTGTAATTTTTTTATTCGAAATCGCTTATTAATTCTTCGCATCATGGCGCTTATAAAATTTCGACCTTGATCAGTTAAACAAACTTTCGGAGAGCCGAAGACGCAAATGAAACGTTTAATGAAAGCATCCGCTATTGTCTCCGCTCTTTGATTCTCCAATGGAATTGCCATTGAATATTTAGACAATTGATCTTGAATAGTTAAAATACACTCATTATTATTTACTGTTTTGGGCAAAGGACCTACAATATCCATCGCAATTTTATCGAAAACCGTGCCAGGTGTATCTGTAATTAACATCGGTTGTTTAGTTTTAACGCGGACTAATTTTTTTAATTGACACTCCGCGCATTGTTGAATACGATTTTGAACATCTTTCTTCAAATTTTCCCAATAATAACTATTTTTTATACGATTAAATGTTTTTGATACCCCTTTATGACCTCCAATAGGTGAAGAGTGCATCTCATAAAAAATTGCATTTCGTTTTTCAACAGGTACATATTTTACCGTACCAAGACAAATAATAACTTTGATATTTTCATTTATGAATGTTTCCTCAATTGAAATAAGAATTTCAGACCATGGAATATTATTTACATATTTAGAATATGCAATTGAAATAGTTTCAATTTTATCTTTCTTCAAAAGTTCTTTCAGATTGTTTAAACTTTCGCAAAAATATTTTTTTACTGTGAGATTAGATTCCCCACTAGATCCTTGAATAATAGCGGCAAAATGGCAATTTTTGCCAATTCTTTGTTTATAAATCCCACCTAAACGTGTGGTTTTAATGGTGGGTAATTTATTTAATTTTTTAAATTCTTTAGCACCTTCATCAACAGGTTCACCATCATCTGAGAGGAAATATAGAATATTATCTTTACGATAAATAATTAATTCTTTGGAAATAATAATGGGAGATTTATTTTTTTTTAATTCTTCAATTTCAGAATGTTCAGATCTAGAGTCCGAATCATCTGTTTCCGTTTCATCACATGAATTGTTTACTCTTAAAGACAAAGAGTTTTCTTTTTTTTTATCATAATTAATTCCATCATTAACATCCAATACAAGCTTTGGTGGTCTACCCCTTTTTCTTTTTATTGTTGAAGAGCAAAATGGAATTTCACCACTAAATTTATTAGGAATTTCACCTTTTACTGAAATTTTGGGAATTTCACCCTCATAATAAGCCGGAATTTCACCGTTCAAAATATTGGGAATTTCACCCTCATAATAAGCCGGAATTTTACCGTTCAAAATATTGGGAATTTCACCCTTTAGTTTCTTTGGAATTTTACCATTTTTTGAAACATTTTTATTAATTATTTTTTCGTCATCTGATTCATTCAAAATATCAAAAATTTCTTGCAACTCAGGACTGAGCGGTTCCTCAGCCCTTTTCTTTTGAGCGCGAGTAATGACATTGACCGTTTCAACCGGATTACGTGATAATGCATCCGCATTTAAATTAATTTTTCCCGGTTTATACACGACATCATAATCATATTCTGCTAATTTTAATCTCCATTTTAAAATTCGTGTATTAACTTCCTTAGCAGTCCTAAACCAAACCAATGGTTTATGATCAGTAACCACAGTGAATTTATGACCATAAACATATGGTCTAAAATTTCTCACTCCCTCTAGTATTGCTAATGCTTCTTTTTCATAAGTGTCATAGCGAAATTCGGCACCTCTTAGGACTCGAGAGTAATAGGCAATAGGTTTATCTTTACCTATTTCCCCCTGCGAAAGAACTGCGCCAATAGCTAGACCAGAAGCATCAGTCGTAATTATAAAGGGTTTTGAAAAATCTGGGTACTGCAAAATAGGAGCTGTACATAGAGCTTCCTTGAGAGTTTGAAAAGCTTTTTCAACTTCTGGGGACCAATCAAACTCTACATCATTTTCAAGCAATCTTGAAAGTGGTTTTGCAATTTTTGAAAATTTTTTAATAAAACGCCTATAATATCCGGTTAATCCGAGAAAAGAACGAATATTTTTTTGTTTTTTAGGCTTTGGAAAATTTTTAACCGCGTCTAACTTTGAAGGGTCAGGTTTCAAACCTTCGTCACTGATAATATGACCCAAATAATTTACTTCCGGACGCAAAAATTCGCATTTGTCCGGTTGTAATTGGAGATTCGCTTTTCTTAAACGTTGCATTAGTGCTTCAATACGTTCTTCATGCTCTTTTAAATCTTTCGCAAAAACAATAACATCGTCAAGGTAAACAAACATTGACGTACCCTGCAATCCAGACAAAACCGTATCCATTAATCGTTGGAACGTTGCTGGTGCATTTTTTAAACCAAAAGGCATTCGGTTAAATTCCCAATGACCTTTCGGAGTAGAAAAAGCAGTTTTATAGCTGTCTTCTGGATGCATCTTAATTTGATGATATCCAGAAGCCAGATCAAATACAGAAAAGTATACAGATTCCCCCAATTGATCAAAAATATCAGTGATATTAGGGAGAGGATAAGCATCTGTAATCGTTTTTTCATTCAATTGACGAAAATCGATGACAACACGCCATCGTTTATTACCCTTAGAATCGGGTCTCTTTGTAACAACCCATACAGGACTATTATATGGGGATTCTGATGGCTTAATTATTCCTGTTTCATAAAGTTCTTTAATTTGTTTTTCAACCTCTTATTTAGTAGAGTGAGGTAATCTGTATTGTTTAGATGAAATAGCAAGATCTGAATTTACAGGAATTCTATGTTTATAAACATTAGTCGATCCAAGAGGTTCACCAGGTATGTGAAACCTGTCAGAATATTTTTTTATCAATTTTTCAACATGTTTTTTCTCTTTTCCTCCTAAATGGTCCAATCTTAATAATTCGCTAATTTTTTCAAGTCTATATTTATTTTCGCCTACGTGAGAAACAATTTTTTTCACAACATCAGAATAACTACGCTTATCATCATCAAGTTGATTATCCTGATTAACTGGTTCAAGTATACTTTCACATTCATGTATTGTTAAAGTTGGTATTTTAATTCCAACTTTTTCATATGTGGTATTGTTTGATGAGATGCCTGGATCGTAGAGACACTGGGCCGGCATAGTCGATCCCAGTATTGAGAAAGGCTCGAGCGGGAGTGAGTCTGGCTGGTGGCAACTGGCCCATGAGCTGTTGAGCGCGTACTCCACGTTGGCGAGTGCAGTTAACGCAC